ATAGGTCGCTTTTATGTCCCTCCATGAGAAGTTAGGGTGGTTTCGCCACCCGGGATTGTAGGTGTTCGAGTAAGGATCGTTTTGGACCCGGGGGCGTACCCTTTGATAGTATTGATGTCGTAGGGGACTCCTTCGAGATTTGGATCGTAGGTCGGCCCCATATAATATGGACACTCCTGGCCTCCATGGCCAGCCTCTCCACAACAACCGCACACCTCGGTCATCACCACTTGGGTCGACTTTGGATCTCGTAGCCGGAGTTGTTTGAGTTCCTCCTCCAATGAAGCAAGCTTGGCAAGAATGGCATCGTTCGAGGACCCGGTGGTTTATGTAGCCTCATTAACAGGGGCCCTCTTACGAATGCTCTCCCGTTGGGAATTCTCACTCAACATCTCATAGAGATTATAGATTTCCTCCTCCGCGTGGCTCCCTATGTCTCCTCCGGCCGCGTGATCGACCATGTATTGAAGGGTTTGGTGGAGCCCGTCGTAAAAGAATTGATTGAGGACCCTGAGGCAAAAGTGATGGTGCGGGAATTGAAGTTGGTACTCTTTGAACCGCTCCCATGCCTCGTGAAAGGTTTCGTCGATGTTTTGGCTAAAGCTAGTCATTTGGGTTTGGAGGTCGGTGGTCTTTTGATGTGAGTAGTACTTGCTCATGAACTTCTCGTAGACGGATTCCCACGTGTTGAGCGAATTTGGGACCAATGTCATGAACCAAGTCTTGGCTCGGTCTTTCAAGGTATAAGGGAAGCATCTCATGCGAAGTTAGTTTTCGGTTAGGCCTTGGAGGGGAAAGGTATTGACGGTTGAGTAGAATTCTCGGATAAAATTGAGGACATCTTCTTGGGCTAGGCCGTAAAATGAAGGTAGTTAGTTTAGGTGGATGGTTTTTAGGTCGTAGTTTCGGGCTGCCTCCCCAAGCACAAGGCACGAGGTGTTGTCTCCAATGATGGGTCGTGCAAAGTACCTCATGTTCGGGGGAGGTGGTAGTGGCAATTGCTCTCCTTGTCCCGCCATTGATTCGGTTTCGGGTTCCGGTTGTGGTTCCTCAATATTAAGCTCAACGAAAAGGTCGATCGATGGTGTCTCCTCTACGGGTGCACGCCTCCGTCTACCTCGCATAAACACCAACAACAACTATACCCGTGAACGCACCAATGTGAAACAAGGTAAAGCTCAAGAAACAAACACAAATTATCTAGAAAACAAAGAAAAATAAAGAAAAATAAAAAAAAATATGACAATTAAGCAAAAAGCACAAAAATCAAGAGAAACACGATAAAAACGAACAACCAAATAGCAAATTAGGCGTCCTACTTGCCTTCCCCGACAATGGCGCTATTTGTTTAGTAAAATTTTGGTGTGGGTAAGGGATAACCGAGTTACCCGACTCGAGTCGATGTCGAGGGAAGGATATTCGGAGCTTCACTTACTAGTTGATTGTCCAAGTCACAAAAAGATCAAATAAAGTCCTAAACATTCTAAGCAATTGGATTGGAGGATGATTATCACTAAACGAGCACTAGAAAACGAGCAATTAACTAAAAGCAAGATCAAATCACGAGCAAGTAACAAACTAGATCATCGGAGTCTCATGCCATAACCATAACGAGATGATAATCAATCGACATAAGGAATAAACGAGCTATGAGCATTAGATTGCTAACCTTAGTCGTCTAACCCTAAGTGATCATGCCCTAATCGGGTCTTAACCCTTAAACGAGATCAACAAGCAATTAACTCCTCTATCTACGCAAGCAAGCAATCAACTCTCGACTTTGCAACCATCATCAATCAAATCCAAATTTACCCTAATAAACATTATAAGTACAATGGAGCAAAAACCGAAGTAAAGAGCTTTAAAACTAAATACTCATCCTTCCATTGCGTAGACGGTAAAAAACGGAGTCAAAAGCTCGAAACTTGAAAGAAACCAAAGTCGCCGAAAAATCTCCCGGAAAATAGCATACACTCCTAATCTAGAGAGCAAAACATAAACATAAGCTAGTTCCCAAAAGGGAAAAATGAAATAATGAGTAGTGGATGTCCAAAATACAAAGGAAAAAACATATATATAGTGGTCTCCAAAAAGTACACACTAGGTGCATACACATTTAATGAATCTGCAGCTCGCAGGTCTCGAAAATCAATTCGCAGCGAGTTTTGGTAGAAAATAAAACACAGAAGTGTCTTTCGCAGCCCGCCAAACAAGACTCGCAACGAGTGTGTTGATATAGGGTGCAGGACAGTTGTTTCGTAGCTCGCGAAACATCATTCGCAGAGAGTGCATGGATGGTGAGAGTGCAAGCTAGCCGTTTCGCTGGGCGCCAAACAAGGTTGGCGGCGAGTGTGACCTTTCCCTTGTGTATACATGTGTTTCGCGAGGCACGAACTCCTTCTCGTAGCGAGTTCCGGAAGTAAGGTGAACATGGCACTAAACTCTGTTTCTCTCGAATGACTCCACCGGCAATTCTCTTTCTCGGAAATTTATGTGGCTCGATCAAATGGCTCGACTAACTCGTTTAGAAAATGGCTCGGCATCAAAAACATGGACAACGGCTCGGACAATGGTTCGTCTTTCTCCAAGCTCGAACAAAGTGGACCTACACACACCAAAAGAGACAAGAAAATATGCCTAAAACACAAAAGCACATAATAAAAGATAAAAACACATAAAACACGACAAAATGGACCGGTTGGCACAAAAACGAACCTAAAACACTAAACTAAAACATATAAATCACATGAAAATCAACACAAAAACACAATAAACAGACAAGAATAAGGGATGAAAAGAAGTATATGCATGAGCTGCTGTTGTGTTTCTTGAATGATGACATTGTAGATCGAGTGTATCTCTACTTAACACTTAACTGTGAATTTTTTTTAGCATAATTTGACTGAACTGAGTTTGGGTAATATTCACTTACTTTTCAATGGGATCAATGTAATTTGAAAACTATTTTGAAGACGTAAAAAGAAATGAAATTTGAAAAAATAATGAAAACCAAATTTTCATTGAGCAAGAACAATCTTACCTTTACTCAGCCATATCTCACAAAATTAATGTCAACTTATTTCTTTAGCATGAAATTATTCTTCAGTCCGCCTCTGGTCCAAGACTCCAAGTTATTTCTTTAGCACATTTGTTCGTTTTTTATTTATAATATCTCTATCGTTTCGTCAAAAGAAAAATTAGGATATCATCGATGGAAAGAAGTGGACAATTCTTACAAATTCTGATACCAACAAGGTTCTTTTTTTTAAATTTTGAATGAGATGAGAAAAGCCAGAATTTAAGAAATCAAAATGAAGATGTAAGGGACATAGGGTCCCCCTGTCTGATCCATCTTGATGGGATCACTGGTTCTAAAATCGGGCTAGGTGGTGCCCGAGCGCCTCCAATTTGCTCAAATCGGCAGAAAAAATTGGTCAGGCGCCTAGGCGAGCCTAGGCGGACTTGGCGGGCTCGACGGCCAGGCGGTTAGGCGGCGCCTAGGCGGGCGTAGGCGCTCTAGGCGGGCTCGACAGCAATTTTTCAGTTTTTTTTTTATAATACTAATTACATTATTTTGTTTTCCTGTTTTCTTTAAAATATATAATTTTATTATTTGGACTTAGGTGTGTCGATTTATTATAAGTTGAGATAGTTTTATTTTGTAGCTAGATAAAATAAATAAAACATAAAGTATTTAATATTTATTTCTAGGTCCCGACTAGATGCCGCCTAGTCCCCGCCTAGGCTCTCTAGGCGCTAGGCGCTTGTCGAGCGCCTAGTGGGCGCCTAGCGACTTTTAGAACACTGGATAAGATTACATAACAACAAGTTGTGTCATTTATATTAAAAGGAAATGAAGCAGACAAAATGCAAGTCATTATCAGTTTCACAAAAGAAGAATTAAAACCAAAATCATGATTTGTCTGAGACTATTCCACTCTACATCAAAAGCTTTAGTCATATATAACTTTAGGGTCATGAAATAGTTCCTACCACATGGTATTGTTGTTGTACAAGTAAATTGTGTCTATGCTAGGTGCATATATTGGACACGATGGGAACATGGATAGTCCGTCAACTCCTGCACAAACACACTCCACCACCGCACCCACCCACCCTTGTATTGAGAATGGGCCCCACCCCCTAATTGTGGGTCCCACAATAACTACATCGGGCCGCCAACATGGTGGTCCACACCATGTATATATATATGTATGTATATATATATATGTGTGTGTGTGTGTGTGTGTCAATTTTTTCGCAATACATACTCTATCGGTATACTTGCCCGTGGTCGCAAGCCAAAAGAGAATTGCCCACTCGGTCCCAGACTGACTTTAGTGCTCCTTGCATAGCTGAAACTAATAATAGCAACCAAGCTACAACAACTTTGTCTGCATTTTAGTATGTTCTAAAAATCGTCCTAGGCGGTGTCCGGGCGCCTCTGATTTGCACAAATCGACATAAAAAATGAGTCAGGCGGCTGCTAAGCGCTCCTAGGTGGACATGGCTGGTTCGATGGTTAGGCAGCTCCTAAGCGGACCTAAGCGCTCCTAGGCGGGCTCGACGACAACTTTTTAGTTTTTTTTTAAATGCTAATTACATTATTTTATTCTCATGTTTTCTTTACTTAAGCGTGTCGATTTATTATAAATTAAGGTAGTTTCATTTTATAATAGTTAAAATAAACAAAAAAAATTAAGTATTTAATATTGATTTAAAGGCCCCGACTAGGCTCCGCCTGGGCGCTAGCGTTGATCGAGCGTCTAGCGACTTGATTTTTAAGCCCCGACTAGGCTCCGCCTCGGCGCTAGCGCTGATCGAGCATCTAGCGACTTTTAGAACACTGCATTTTACTCTCAACCACAAGCATGAAACACAACAAAGTCAAGTACGTCAAAGAGAACACAATACAACACAATACAGCTACATCACAATCACAGGTTGCAAAATATCCAAATAACATGTGTGGCCAAGAAAACACAAGACCTCGAAAACAACTAAGCTTGGCTCCCCCTTATGATAAGTTCCAGCTCGAGCTTTCTTCTCTGATTGTCCATCAATTCCGCTGGAATGAAAAGATACTTTCCCTGGCAGGAATATTTCGTCCTTTCCCGCACGCACTCCACACCCATCTTCATGTTCAACAACGTGGGTGTGTCCTTAGCAGACGAGAATAGGGGTAAAACCTTTGCCGTGAGATCGCACGAGAATGGGGCACCCTTAGCAGACGAGGGACCCACACATACGACATCGACTTCGGTTCCATGGGAGTCTTGTGAGTAGCGGGTGCACACAAAAACTGTATTGTGGATCCTTTCTTGGAGAACAACTGTCGTGCTGTGATTGCCAACAATTGAGATGACCGAGCCAAGATCAAACCTTCTGGCCCTATTCGGATGTGCCTCAGTGACGTGCCTGGAGAAGCATGTGTACAGGCCAGAGAAGTTGCAGCTGGCCCTGCACGGGCAACAATAAGCGACGAACTCGCAATTCCCCTCATGATTCAGCTTATCGCGATGGCTCGAGAACACCTCGCTGCAGCCAGAGGATGAGTTGTCACATGGGAAGGTGAGAGATTCCAGAACCTTCTCGAGACCTCTGCAACGGATTCCCATTTTACAGCGGCAGATTGTGCATTTATTATAGTGAGTTTTGCAGCATGGAGAACATAATATATGCCCTTTGGTACACTAAAAATTCACAATAAAGAAAAAAAATTACGAGATTAACAAACATATTGCAGATAAATCAGGGATCCAAAAAGTTTATAGAATATAAGATTCAAACAAATCGACTCATCAATATAACCACACATGAGCACAATCAAAACTACAAGTAAATAGTTCAAATGAACAAAATGTAAATAAGAATATACATGAGCTGCTGCTGTGTTGCTTGAATGATGACAGTGTAGTTCAAGTGTATCTCCACAGTGAATTTTTTTTATCATAATTCGATTGAACTGAGTTTGGGTAATATTCACATACTTTTCAATGAGATCAAATGTACAAAAACTATTTTGAAGACGTAAAAAGAAATGAAATTTGAAATAATAATCGAAACAAAAAAAGAAAAAGAAGAAGGGACCTGATACAAGGGGAAGCGGGGGAAAAGAGGTTTGCGGCAGCTAAGACAGTCCAGAACTTCCGGGTTCGCCAGATTCGCTATCAATCCTCCCTTCGGTCTCGAGCCCTCCGGCCGACCGCCTGAAACATTAGCAACCGGTGTCGGAATTGGATTAGGGCCGCCTCCAGCAACCGGCGGCTTCGATTCTCTATCGGATCCCGACGAGGAGAAAGCCGTCGTGTCCTTTAACTCGGAGGCAGGAGGTAAAACAGCGGCGTCTTGCGTGGACGCGGTGCCGACCGGCGTTTTCGAGGTATTGGGAGGGGATGAAGGTCTCAACCTCTTGGGCGGCAGACCTTCACGAGGATAGCTCGGCGACACTCTATCTGTGTTTCCATTACCGGCGTTCATTGATACCTTGATCGCGAATTTTCGCCTCTCAGCACTTGTTCATAGTGTAGGGTTTATAAATTCGTGAATGAAGAAGTGAAGAGGGTTTAGGGGCAGTGGCACATAGCTTGCTCGGCTTATCCCATATCCTAAGTTTGAGTAATTGGGAGGGGAATTGGGAAACCAGTATTAATTTTCCTTTGTGTGTGTAAGAAAAAAAAAAAAATCGTGAATGAAGAAGCTCCTCAAACATCCCAAATACTCCAAACTCAAACCATGTAGTATCTATCCATTTTGTAGTAATTCATATCCAACTAAAAAACTCATTCCAAAAGAATATTCTCGAAATATTCTCTTTTATATCAGTTTTTACAATTTTTCAATACTTTCTACGTTGAAGTTGAAAAAGCTTACATTGAAGCTCAACAAGCCCAATCAAATTTATTTCCATCCAATGCATACACTGAATCTGAAATAGCACGAATCTTGGCGAAAAGAACTCAACAAGTCCAATTAGATCTATTTCCATCTAATGCATTTGGGCAATTTTTCAATGATCTGGGATGAAGCGATACCAACTTGCCAGATTAATAAATTCTCATGCTTGTTTTTAATTTTGGGTTTATAATGTATTTTTATTTTTAGTATTATGTGATGTTTTAATGTTATTTCAATCTATATTAGTAATGTTGTTATTTAATGTTAGTGTTCTCTTTTCTTGTTAAATAAGAATACCATAAATAATATGTACATTATATATTATTATCAGATCAGATATGCAGTACGGTTGGAGAGGTTTGTACGACAAATTTTAATATTTGCAGTACGGTTGGAGATGGTCTCAGAGGTAATTTGGCCTGCTTTTTTTTTTTTT